GAGCCTAAGTTTACTGGGGAAGGGGATGTTTGGAGGCCAGACTAAAAAGAATATTGGAAAACACAAAGGCAACCAAAGGGCAATCATTAAAAAAACAAGCAATGGAGGGACAATCATTAAAATTCATGGGCAACAAACAAGCACTCATTAAAGTACACGGGTAACAAACAGGAAACCATTACAGTACACAGGCAACAGAGAAGACATCATTGCACTCTGCGGACAGCAAACAGGCAATTGGGACATACATATGCAATGACAACAAGAGTGATATTGGTGGTATTCTACTTTCTTTATCTGGCCAGACACATCCTCAGTGGACAGAGGAAGGAAACAGTCTGCACCTTCTCCCACCTCTTCCCACCTCTACAGTGCCAGTGATGATTGACAGTATTATCTAGATTGATGTCAATGCTCCGATGGGCCTATTAGTGGTGAAGCCTTAAGGTGGCCATACACTCTACAACCATCGCAAGACTTTAGTCTTGCGATGGTTGTAAAGGGATTAAAAAAACGTACGATCTGCCTATCTTGGACAGGCAGATCGCACTCTCGATCATCGCAAGCCCGCCCTCCTGAGGGGCGGGCTTCCGATGACCGCAATGCTGAACGGGCAGTGTGCGCGTGCGCACACCGGCCCGTTCAGCATTTATCTTCCGAGCACCGTTCTAACCAGCCGAGAATCGTACGATTCCCGGCTGGTTTTCGAACATGCTGGTTCGACAGAAGACGTGCGACCGTACAGTAGAAACGGTCGCACGTCTCCGTTCACACTGCTCGATTATCGTACGAAAACCCGATCGCATACGATTATCGTACGATAATCGTGCAGTGTATGGGCACCTTTAGGGAACTTCAAGTGACTGGAAGACCCAGTAATCAAATTGCATGCAAGCTTCCATTTATGACTGTATATAATCCTTTTTCACTCACATTAGAAGGATATTGATCTAAAATGTGGGATAAGATCGCCTTAAAATATACAATAGGGTTCAATGAGTTGACATGCAGGAAGAAATATTCAAAAGGTACAATTAAAATAAAGTGGACAAAATATACATAAAATACATTTAGTTGGTGCATCAAAACAACCCAAATGTAACTATTAATGGTTCTCTGGCGCAGTTCGCACAGTGAAAACAACAGCTAAATTCAATAGAATATGCTCAGCATTTTCTGGCATGACTCCTCTTATGTGTTATATGACATTCACTATGCGAATCTTGTGTTAGAATTTTACCAGGACAAATCTTGATAGCTTAATATTTTTCACCTTTGGACGAATCTGTGTGGGAATGTTTAGGGCAAAAATGTTTTCCTTTACCTGTACATATCAGTGAACTGGTCTGAAGAACCACTAAAATCAGTTCACTAAGGAGGGGACAACCACCTTATGCCCCCTATTGGGGGGCAGGTAGATGGAACATGAGCCTCCCCATGCTGGCACCCCCTCCTTCAAACCAGCTGTGCTGTAGAGTCTGGAGTCAACATCGTGCTAGGGTGTTTTGGGGGGACCACTGACCCCCTCAAAGCACCCCCCACAAATCTAAAGGGCATGTGGGCTATTATCAGCATACTTGGGTGGCTTCACACTCACCACTCTCATGCTATGAGGATACCAGCCTGCATGTCAAAGACCTTAATGTGGAAACAGCTATATCTTTGGACCTTGCCATTTTTAGCACCAGCCTCCATCCTTTTTTCTGCCTTCAATTCATCTCTTTTGACACTGCTGATCCTAGTACAGCCATCTAAGGTAGATGTCATTGGAACAGAAAACTGTGAAATACAAACTGAGCATGGAGTTTCAAGTACAATAACAAAACAGCTCTCCTTTATGAAAGTGTTTCCGCTGGCTTCACTTCACTGTTTACAAAAATCGCTCTATGAGCCAAACTCTGCTAATGCCATTAACAGCATTGCAGGTGGAAATAACAAGCGTGCTGACAATTCTGTTAAAGTCTAAAAGCAACTCTCTATGTAGTTGTACCCACCCCTACAAGTCCTGGGGCTTTACTTTCTTAATTCACGATAACATAGGTTCACCAGGCTATAAACATTCACACACACTGCAATCCAATCTTTCAGTTTAGAAACTCTCAACACATGTAAACGTTCACATTATCAAATAAAAATATATATGTAGGATCTCCACAGCAATCAGTTCATCATGACAGTATAAAGGTGCCCATACACTTTACAACCATCGCAAGACCTTAGTCTTGCGATGGTTGTAAAGTAATTAAAAAAACGTACGATCTGCCCATCTTGGACAGGCAGATCGTACTTGCGATCATCGCAAGCCCGCCCTGCTGAGGGGCGGGCTTCCGATGACCACAATGCTGAACGGGCAGTGTGTGCTTGCGCACACCGGCCCGTTCGGCATTTGTCTCCCGAGCATGCCACAAACCAGCCGAAAATCGTAAGATTTTCGTCTGGTTTTCAACATGCTCCTTAGACAAAAGACGTGCGACCGTACAGTAAAAACGGTCGTACACCTTCCAGCTTCCGATGACCGCAATGCTGAACTGGCAGTGTGCGCTTGCGCACATCGGCCCGTCTGGCTTTTATCTTACGAACATGCTACACACCCGCCCGAAAATCGTACGATTCTTGGTGGGTTTTCGAACTTGTTCGTAAGATAAAAGTTGTGCGACCTTACAGTACTAGAGGTCGCACGGCTTCCACACACCTTACGATAATCGTACGATCGCAGGATTTCCCGCGATTATCGTACAATTATCGCAAGGTGTGTGGGCACCTTAAGGCTGTATGTGAAAAGGGTACTCTGTTAACTCCTTTATTGTAAGCCTGGATGGCTGCCAGTAGGAAGAATCCACATAGGATTTCATTGTTTTTTTATGTTTAGAACGGTTCTGCACGTATTCAGCCCTACGAATACATACGGACAACTGCTCCTATGTGAATGGAGCCTAAATAATAATATTCATAATTATTTTAAAGACATATAAAGATTTTTTTTTGCCACATTGATATAAAGCGGAACTCCAGGACACCTTACTTAAAGGCAAACGCCAGCACACATTTTATTAATCCTTGCAGTGGGGCTACCCCAGCAGTGCAAGGGTTAACTGTTTTTTGCCTAGGGTAAAAAAAAATAAAAACTAGTGGAACAAATTTTGGGTTATTTTACACAACAGTTTTTAATTAAACTTACCTTATAAAATTATTTTTTTACACACTGTAAGGCTATTTAACATTGTGTTTCTTCAACCTGCAGATATTACCATGTCTGTTTATGACATGGAGTGGCATCACTATGATCACTATGGTGGTGCAGCCAGCACGCTGGTGACACCATTGAAGGGGTGACACCAAAATGACTGACAGTCATTTTGGTGTCACCTCCTCTAAAAAGTCGGGCACTCGGAGTTGCACGAGAGAGGAGGAAACTCGGCGGCATAACTTATCCTGCCAGGTGAATCTCTGCCAGTGCCCATCACCAAGATGGCTGCCAGTAGGTATCACCAAGATGGCCGCACATGACGTCACGCCGGGTTGTCACCTGGTATCCGCTCCAGGTGACACCCAGCCTTGGGACGCCCCTGCTGACATGCCAATGTGTAATTGAATGTGTCATTACATGGGTAAGGAGTTTGCATGTATGAGGGTGTGTACACATGCACATAGTGATATAGTGAATAAACAGGACAAGGATGTGTACTTGTACTGTTAAAGGAGAACTATGGGGTTAACACTTTTCCCCATAGTTCTCCTTAGGGTAACGGGAGGACACAAAATAGCGTCCTCCCGTCACCCTAGGCTCAGTATACCGCGAGCTGTAGCTCGCGGTATACTGAGACGCCGCAGTATACCGCGAGCTACTGCTCGCGGTATACTGAGACGCCACAGTTGAAGCGGATCCCGACAATTGTGCAGGGATCCGCCCAGCTGCTTGAATGACAGCTGTACCCGCCCCCTCCCCCGTCCGTTCCGCCAGTCAGCGCTGGTGGATCGGAGCGGGGAGGGGGGAATCCAGCCCCTCCCCTGTCCCGGCAGAGAGCCGTGACAGGATTGAGAGGTGAGCGAACACCGGTATGTGTTCGCCCACCTCCCGATCTACTGAGCCGACCTGTGACAGTGTCATTGTCACAGGTCGGCTAGAATTATGAGGTGAGTGAAAAACACTCACCTCATAGTTCTCCTTTAAGCAGAGAAACATGAGAAAGATGAACCAGATAAGGTCTTTACAAGAGGAATCTTAGGGTGCCCATACACCTGACGATTATCGTACGATAATCGCGGGTGATCCCGCGATGGTACGATAATCATAAGGTTGATGGGCAGCGTGCGACCTTATTTACTGTACGGTCGTACGATTTTCGTATAACGAGCACGCTAGAAAACCCGCCGAAAATCGTACGATTTTTGGCTGGTTGGTAGCGCGATCGCAAGACGAAAGCCGCACGGCCTGAGGTGCGCAAGCGCACACTGCCCGCTCACCATTGCAATCATCTGCAAGCCTTCCCCTCAGCGTGGAGGACTTGCGATGATCTGCCTGTCCATGATGGGCAGGTCGTATGAACTTTTAATCACCTTACAACCATCGCATAACGAAAGTCGTGCGATGGTTGTAAGGTGTATGGCCACCTTTAGCCTGATCAATTTTTTTTTTAGGTATTTATATAGCTCCAACAATATACCCAGCGCTTAAACAGTACCTGTCCTCAAGGAGCTAACAATCTAAGGTCCCTACTGCACATACATACAGGGCTAATTTAGACAAGAGCCAATTAACCTTCCAGCATGTCTTTGGAGTGTGGGAGAAAACAAGGGTACCCGGAGGAAACCGACACAAGCACAGGGAGAACATGCAAACTCCTAGTAGAGGACCCTTAGTGCTGCAAGGCTGAAGTACTAACCACTAATTCACTACATTGTTACTGTTATTTAATAGACAATGACAAAACAGTATAATGTACTGTACAATATAATGTAATAGATGGTAAGATGTCAAAATACAATTATGTTGCACTTACCAATGAAAAAGAATGCATACACATCTTCATCACCCTCGCTCAGTTCTTTTATATTTCCAGTAAATAGAAGCCACAAGCCAACAGCTACTATTGCAGATCCTGCCAGCTGAAAACAGACAGAAATGTAAGCACATAAAATCATTGAAGTTTTTATAAAAAATCAAAGCTTTCTTTACATTTTTAATTCCGACAAAATGTTCAGCTAAGTGATCTTACCATTTGCAAGAGCATAATAAAGACTTAAATGAAAAGTCCCATTAACCCCTTGTCGTCCGGCGGATGCTTCCCGGCGGGTGGACGTACATGTATGTGATTTTTTTTCTGCTTGTGTGCGCCGCCTAGCGTGACCCCATCTTTAATATTTTACCAAAAAATTGGGTGCTGATAAATGTTTAATAACATAACGTAGGGAAAACATTTATTTTTTTCAAAATAATCGGTACTTTTTTCATTACATAGTAAAAAATAAAAATCCCAGTGGTGATTAAATACCACTAAAATAAATCTTTATCTGTCCCTAAAAAAATGGTTTAAAATAATTTCAGTACAGCATTGCATGACGGACTAAATGTCAGTCAAAGTACCGCAGCGCTGAATACTGAAAAATGGCCTGGACAGGAAGGGGGTTTAACACCTCGATCAGCAAGTGGTTAAGCAGCTTTAAAAAGTACTATTTGTAGTCAATTTACATAATAAATCAGATCTGTAAGAAATAAACGATAATACAAAATCACCTGCACTACATACAGTGTACAGACCTTGGATGAAAGGTTGGTGCTTGAAGTGACAACACGAATGAATTATCAAATACAGTCCATAATAGAAGTCAACAGCACTCGATGATATGTGCAAGAAGTAAAGCACTTTTTATTAAATCGTCACATGCGTCAAACAGCCAACGTTTCGGGGCCACGCAGGGTCCCTTCTTCTGGGCGACATAGTGACACCGTCACTTTGTAAGAAATAAAGATACATGCAGCGCTACTTATCCCAAGCTTATATGACTGGTTAGTTTGTAATGGCATACACAGATTATTCTTGTGCTTTTGAGAGGCCAAGGCAAGCTCACATTAGGTCTACCAATGTCTACCGAGAACACTGTGGAGGCTCATGAGAAGTATAAGGGAAGGTGATTACTGGCAAGTTTATTTAATCCATTCTTACCCAAAGGTCATTGATTCCTTGATGTCCACATCAAATTTACCATCAGCGTTTTTAAACAAGGACATATAAGATTTTTATTTAGTGCAATGTTTAAATAAAACCCTGTCCATATTTCTCAACAAAGACTGTCAAACACAAAAGTGTGAAAGAAAGTTTAATAAAATATTTGTTAAAACTTTTTTTAATACTGTACCTTCTCCTTTAACAGTATTTATTTCAGTGAGAGCATAAATAAAGAGTTACTCTGACAGATATTACTCTCAGGGACAACCAAAGTCATCTGATTACTATGCAGATTGACATTCCCTCTGCAGGAGAACATCATGCAAGGGAGCCTTAGTTTACATATTGCAGGTGCAAAAAAAGGTTAAATGTGGAGGTGCCTAACAAATGTAAATGGATTTAAAGTGTTTCATATAGTACATAAGAAAATTAGCCTTCAAATTAAATAGGTTCCAAATGGGACAGCATTTCCTGGATCTAAAATGTTGGTATAAAAAATGAGTAGGTAACCTGAAACAAAGAAACCAACTACAGAGGTTTCTGCACATTGTTTCCCAAAAATATATAGCGCGCAGTAGCACGATTTTTGATAAAACTGGGTCACAGGAGGACATTAGTAAACTACGGCCAAAAAAGGTTTTACCATAGTTCTCTGGAAACCTTCTTCTTTAAGAAACACTCAGGACTTATTCACTGCATATACCAAGGGGCTGCCCTGGCCATTTTTTCCAGTGCAACTCTAATGCAATACAAGGCAATTTGCCTTGTCATGGAAGGACACAATTCACACCACCGCGTTGCGGTCACCAATCACCTTAAGGCCCCATTCACACACAAATCGGCCTGCACATACAGCTCCGTGCTGCGTGCGGAGCCGTACCAAGTAGCTGCCGGGAAGGACAGTCTTTCTCTATGGGGCTACGCTGCCGTACGCCCCCCTACGCTCACCTCAATTGCAGGTCCGTAGGGGTGCGGGTGATCGTATTCATACGCCGCCGGAATGGATCCTGTATGCGCCCCGGCCAGAAAACCTGCACCCCTACGGACCTGCAATTGAGGTGAGCGTAGGGGGGCGTACGGCCGCATAGCCCCATAGAGAAGGACGGGGGCTGCGTACTAATCACACGCAGCCCCTGTCCTTCCCGGCAGCTATTTGGTATGGCCCCGCACGCAGCACGGAGCTGTAGGTGCAGGCCGATTTGTGTGTGAATGGGGCCTAACAACTGCCTCGCATCACACTGTGACCATAGAACTTAATGAAATGTCATGTCAAAAAAAGGAAACAGTGTGATGTGCACATCAGCACCATGCTGGCCACTGCACATCAGCTGCTGTGCAATTTGTATATGAGCACTGCAGCACAACTGACTGGCTCATTGTGCTGCCCCTCCCTCTCTCACTCTAAGCTTTGTTGTACAGGGGATCAGGCTGATATTCAGTCAAATTTAGATATACTGCTTGCAAAAGAAAATGCTTTTAATTATATTTTAATGAGTACAATGCATTATTATGTGTCTTTTATATCTGTCTGAAGTTCCATTTCAAATGAGGCTGCACTCTAGTTCCAAGTTATGTAACAGGCTATAAAGTGCAATGCCAGTATGCTGATATACTATAAAACAAAACAAAAAATGAAATAAGCTAAAGACTACCATTCCCTTCATTACATGCTATTTTGGTAGTTATAGTGCTGTCCCAATGCCAAAGCATCACACAGGAAGTATTTGATCGGTTAGGATAGCAGAAGGAGAGCAGAAGCAGTGGCGGAACTACCGCCGGTGCAGGTGGTGCGGACGCACCAGGGCCTTGGGGCTCTAGGGGGCCCAGCGCCAGATCGGTACCCAGCGGCTAGCGGGCCCCCCATCTCTGCGCCGAGAGTGTCGGATCATCCGTTCATCCGACACTCCCGGCGCAGAGATGGGGGGCCCGCCGGCCGCTGGATACTGATGTCCCCACACTCTGACGCGCTAAATTGGGATTTTTTTTGGGGGGGGGGGCCCAAAAAAAATCTTGCACCAGGGCCCTTTGTTCCTTAGCTCCGCCACTGAGCAGAAGGGAACATAGTAGTGCAAACTGCAATAACTCATAATAGCCAATCAGTCCTCAGTGTAGTCTTTAATGTTTCAATGTGTTTCTGTTTTTATTTTTAATAATTTTGTTTTTTTAAATCATAATTACTCAGTGATTATGATTTATAATCTGCCTTGAAATGCTTTCACTTTATGATTACTATTCAGTAAGTGTTATGTAAAAGTTAATAAAAATAAATAAAAGAATTCATACTGGACATGTGATATACAAGATGCTGTTGTCAGGATTCTCCAGGTAATTGCATGTTTATTTTCCAGTGTTTTAGTTACAAAAAACCCAACACATAATGCATCTAAATTGAATGCCTGCAGCTTTCAGGCCACATCCCTAGGGACACTGATATTGTCAAAACTATGATGATTTCCCATAAACCTTAGGTCATTCCATTTTCAGAAATTCCAGCATCATTAGGGTATCCTATAATTACAAGTCTGCACCACGCCTTGAAGTCAGTGACTGCAAAATAAAGGATGTGCATGCAATTTCTATGTTTTCCACTAGTTTCTGCCAGTCTTCCTGACCTCATAAGGCTGCCCAAGTGCAAGGGCTTTCATCCACAGAAGCAAGAATTTCAGTCTAACTTTTCTTATTTCGTCAAGCTGGATGTCCTGTTTTTTTATTTTAATTAAAAAAGATTAAGCACCACGCTCTATGACAGGGAGGTTAATATAACAACGCCTCGCCTCACAAGGGAGCCTCACTTCAACTAGAGGTGCATGGCCCTGTATTTCAGTCCTTAGGATGTGTTTTAGTTTTGCAAATATAACTATATACTGCGATTCTTGGTTAAGCCCAGGTCTGTGATGAAATGCAGTTTTTATATGAGCTGTCTTTAGTAGAAGCACTTAGAGAGGGCAGTCAGCTCTACGAACCAGTCAGGGCTGTATTGCTATACATTGAAAGTTAACAAAGATAGCAGCAAACCTGGCTATATAGTGTGTAAATCACAAGAACGCCTGAACAAAATTATGAATAATTCGTCAGGTAAAACAATTCATATTTATTTAGAGCTTAAGATTTTACGAGCAAGGCCCTCCGAACCCTCTTGCCTTGAATTGTACTGTAGATGCACTGTCTCTCTTTATTTGTAAAGTGCTGTGCAAACTGTTGGCAGTATATATCCTGTATTATAATAATAATAATATAAATGCTGTATAATAATCATCATCATCATTATTATAATATACATAATTTTAGCTATATATTTAGCTAATTGGCTGGCTTTTCAGACATCTAAGATCTAGTATTCTTCAGCACCATATATTTTAATATAAAGGGGTTCCCATCCCATCAAAAAACTAACGTACAGCTGTTCCCATCAAACAACTAATTTGTATATATAAAAGAGGAAAGGCATGGATCCATGGTAGGATCCATGTCTTTCCTCTTTTATATATACAGGTGACATTTTATTCCCAGATCTTTCTTTTTTTAAAGTGAACACAAATCTTTTAACAATGAATTATCTCTAATGATTCCCCTTTGTTTCTTGGGAAATGACAAAAAAAACAAAACAATTGCAGGCAAGGAGAGTGTTTGAGTACATAGAAAATTAAAAATGGAAAAGAGAAAATTAAAATGGCAACAACAAAGATTCCATGGGGAAAATATATTTGCAACTGCCAAAAATTGTTCTTTACGGATACACACTTTAATTTCCAGAATAAAACATTAGCAGAAGAATAAACATTAGCAGAAAAGTCAGTGTACTATCTTTGTAAGCTTTTCTACCGATGTACAATCCCTTATCCTCTGTGCTGAGTTAAAGGAGAACTATGGGGTTCTATCTTTTCTTTATTCATTCCTTAGGCTAAATAAGTAAATTATGTAATTTATTCTAATTAGCCA